TAAATACGTACCCCAAACAGGCACTAATAAAAATGAAAAATGGAACCAAAGTATTCCTTTAATAGCTTTACAGAGACATAATTGATATACAGGAATAGGTGCCAACTACAAGTATGTAATTAGCTAAGTTCTAACCCCTGTACTAAGTCTCACAACCACACCCACAAGTAAGACAAGGGAGACATCCACTCCTCCTACGCAGTGCCTCCCGGCACGCCATCATACACCGGCAGGCTTGGATGTGCTGTCTGTCATTTGCTGATTGCATTTTCTAGAATTTAATGAATGGAATTCTACAGAATATACTTTCATCTGGTATCTCTCATACAGTATAGATATTCTGAGAGTCACCCATCCTGGCACTCAATTCTTATCGATGCCTTCTTTTACAGTTAAACAGCATCGCAGCCTGTGGGTAAATCACAATGGGTTTATACACTCACCAGGTGATGGACATGTGGATTATTTCTAGACTTCGGCTACTACAATAAAGCTGTTATAAACACTTGTGTATGTCTTATATGAATATGTGCTTTACTTTCTCTCAGGCAAATACCTAGGAGTGGGATATCTAGATCACAAACTAGGTGGACATGTAGCTTTGTAAGACAGAGGAAAACCATCTTCAAAGTAGCTGCACCATTTTACCTTTTAACCAGAATAAATGGCAGTTCCGGTAGCTCCATATTTTACCAATACATGGTTTGGTCACAAATTTTAATTCCAGACATTCTAATACCTGTGCAGTAGTGTGTTATATAAATTGAGGTTGGCTTTTCAGTGGGTAACCAATTGTTCCAGAACAATTTGTTTAAAACATTGCTATATTCATTCTCCATGAAAACTTCCTTGGAAATTTTCTTAAAAAACCAATTTTAGCCCTATTTTTGGATTCCCTCTTCTTTTCACTGGACTTCTGTGTACATTTACCTGAATGCCACATTGTCTTGATTATTATAACTTTTTTTCTGATTACTGAAGATTGAACCCATTGGGCTATATCCCTAAACCTTTTAAAATATTTTTACTGTGAGACAGGTTCTTGCTATGTAGCTCAATTGCCCAGACTTGGCTTGAACTTGTGATTCTCCTGCCTCAGCTTCCAAGAGTGCTGAGATTACAGGTATGCATCACATGTCTGGCTCCTGTTGGAATTCTGACTGGATTATTTGGAATCTATAGATTTCTCTAAAGAGGATTGACAATACTGAATCTTTAGATTAACACATATATCTATCTATATCTATCTATATCTATATCTCACTTTGGTCTCAGTATACTCTTAAATTATTTCCCCCAAATATGAGAGAAAGCAGTACAGGGTAACAAATCATGTCAAGAGAACTTGTTTTCGTTTTCACGTGAATTCATTTCAAAAGATATTTATGGGTACCTATTATGGCAAACCAACGAGCAGTGGAAAATATGGTACACTTAGAAGATTTGTTATGGTATGGATTATGGAATAATAAAGATTGGTTACAGGCAATTACAGTATTTGGCATTTACTGAACCAGTCTCAAAAAGTTTACTGAAAAATAAATTCAAGTGGCAAATCCTAGAGCTTACCCTGAGCTTTGCAGGGTAAGATGAAGCTATATTTGAATACAATGGAAAGACAAATAATGTAACATCTTAATAAATATCAAGTAAGTTGAGTATTGGAATCAGATTTTTAAAATGTTAGTAGACTGGAGATATCAGCTGAAGTGATGAAACTTAGTAAGGATAATAAAAATTATACCATCTTTAATATTAAAAGTAATTGGTTTTATCTTTTTAAACACATTGTGCTTTTTCTCCAACGCTATAGTAATAATAAATCATCTTCAGTTCTCCAGGAATAAAAGAGACATTTTATTTCTAAGATGTGATGGAGTTTAAAAAATATTTTTCAGGGAAAAAATTATACATGTATACATAATGTATACATAATTAAACCATGATGACAGGAAGAGGTAAGTGATCATCTGGGAATTACGAAGCAGGAAGGAGAGAATTCAAGGAGGAATAAAGAATGTGCACCTGGCTGGGCGTGGTGGCGTACACCTGTAATCCCAGGATTTGGGAGGCTGAGGTAGGATGATCATTGCAAGTTCGAGATCAGCCAGGGCTACACAATGAGTTCTAGGCTAGTCTGAACTACATAGTGAGACCCTATCTCAAAAAACCAAAAGAAAACAAACAAACAAACAAACAAAAAAGTGCACCTGTGGTCCCAGCTATTTGGGAGTTTGATCACTTCATCTCAGGAGTTCAAGGCTAGACTGGGCAAACACTGAGATCTCATTCCAAAAACAGCAGGAAAGCAGGAATAAGGAAAATTTTGGAGAGAAAGATATTTTCATTACATTCATCTTGGTGTGTATTTATAAGACACACTTTATTTACTCATCCACTATATATGTGTGCATTTCATGGTATGTCAACTATACACAACAGAGCTATCTTTAAAATCGTATATGTATTGATCCTAGAAAATCGTGTAACCACTTTGACTCATGGAAGGTCAGTTATTAAAAAGTTAACTATAGACGTATGCCTGTAATCCCAGCTACTCAGGAAGCTGAAGCAGGAGGATCACAAGTGAGGCCAGCCTAGGCAATTTAGTAAGATGCTGTCTCAAAATAAAAAATAAAAAGGGCTCTGGAAGAAGCCCAGTGGTACAGTACCTCTGGTATCGAACCCCTATACCTCAAAACTAAACAATTTAATTTGTTTTGAGCTCTGGCTACAGTGAATGCTGCTGCTATGAACACGGGTACACAAGCACTCAGGTTCCGGCGCTCAGTATCTATTTAAAAGCAGACCTGCAGGATCACAGGGTGAGAAGTGTACGTTCAATCCTTTGGCAAACCACCTGTTTGGAGTGCAGGTGCTTCACTTTACACTCGTGCCAGCAACATGCAGGTCTCCAATTTTATCAGCATCTGACCGGGAGGGAGTGGTGTCTGATTTTGGTTGGATTTGTATTTCTCTAATGATCAGCGATGTTCCAAATCTCAAGCCTTTATTGGACATTGTTGGAGGAATATTTATGTCAGTCCTTCAACCATTTTATAATGTGGGTGTTTGTTTTCCTGCTGTTAATGAGGTATATATTCTGGATACCAGTGGCTTCTCAGATATAAGATTTCTAAATATTGTTTCCATTTTGTGAGTTGTCTTTCACATTTGATAGTAACCTTTACTGCATAAAGTTTTAAATTTTGATGAAGTCTATTTTATTTTTTTTATACCCTTGTTATGATTTGCAGTCTTCTATATTTTAAAGTGAATACCATTATGATACCACCAGCATTTTAGGGAAATGAAAATCTTTCTGGGGTCTATTCTTTTTTAGTCTCTGAAGTGTCTGCCAAACTTGTAGCATCATTCCCTGATTCTCTATATATGCTCTATGATTTATGTGTCTTTTACAAATATGAGCTTTTACTAAAGAGTTTTCTATGAACTCTGCAATTTTTTGAAGGCTCCTGCCCATTCTCTTTCTCTTTCAGGCCATTTGAGACAATGAAGTCCTAACTGCATTTCTGATAGTATTCAATCCTCCAAATATGTATTTCCTTCCAAACTCTCATTCTTTGGAATCATATTTATCTTTTAAAATGCTTTAAAATTTGTCTTCTTAAAGTCACATATGTATGCGCCACCAGCCTAATCTCTCCTGACTGTAAAGGATGAGTGTCAGTTTGTGCCCCATGACACTCATTCTTTATCTCTGACGCGTTTTCCCACAGACTGAGGCAGTGACGCTATATATCTTCTGTGTTACTCGTATGGCTAACGTAGCACATTTCCTAGTCGCTTCCTTGATCCTTGTTAATAAGAAAACTCTGAAAGGCAGAGTTTAGTCAAATGAGACTGTAAGCAGCTAGCTAGCAGCTCATGGCTGTTAGCAGTATTTCTTGCCGTTATGTCAGTTTGTAAAGAATACAGCATTTACTTCCAATGGTTATTGCCTTTGCGGAGACTCATCATGATATTCTTTGTATAAATCAGTCCTTTAATCTTCATCCAGGTAAGCTTACATTTATTTCCAAAGTCAATTTTTATATTATTCTAGGGAGACTGCACACTTATGTTATTGAGGTATAAAAATCAATGAAGATATTTAAACAATATTAGAATCACAGAATTAAAATCAGAACGGACTCGTGGAAGATGGATACAACACACACACTTTATACATAAAATTTCCAAGATTCCCAATAGTTCAGGGATATGGCCAAGATCACATGAAGACACTGAAGGCCTGTTTTTTTCGTGTTTTTTTGTGTGTTTTTTTCCATTTCATGGATTTATAAAATCTATAGGCTGAACATAAGCTATAAAGAACAAGTATGCATTTGTATGTATATTTAATTTAGAATGGAAGAAAATATATTCTTTTTTTTTTTGTATTGGGAATCAAACTCAGGACCTTGTACTTGCCAGGCAGGTGCTTGTGCCACTGAGCTATATCCCTGGCCTGAAAATATATTCTTATAGAGAGAAAAAGCTGTAGGAAATTCTACTGTATCATCTTTAACTGTGAAATACAAACAGTGGGAGAAAGGATATCATTAGTCAAAAAGTTAAGAATGAATTATTTAAATATTTGCTCATGATGTATTAAACTAAAATTACAGACTCAAGATTTTGAAGAGGTTAAATTAGTGATAAAAGCTGTTTTTATCTTGATTATGGTCACAGTGGCGGGTCAAGGGTATATCTGCAAAATTCATAGATAAACTACATTAGAAAGGGTGAATTTTACTATATGCAAATTAAATCTCAATAATCTAACCTTTCAAAAAATAAATATTTTACTAAGAGATTAGCATATATGGAAGGAAAAACTAAATATCCTGAGCCAGAGCAGTCTATATTGTGGCAATTTTATGTAATTCTTGAGGATATTTACACAACATTTCAAAAATTCATTCACATATTTGTAGACATACACGCAGAAGAAGAAGAAAATCTAGGTACTTCCTTTAAAAAAAAAGGCAACTCACCGTTTCATTTCCAAAAAGTATGTCCACATAAGGCATCACTTTCATCAATGGCTCCTTGTAGAACTGGCTAATAAATGGCGCAGACAGATTCAAAGTGAAGATCCTGTTGTTTTCAGAAGCGTACTGAGCCACTTTTAATATTGACTCCGGGGAAACTGTAAGAAAAAAGCCCTGGATAAAAAAAGAAAAAGAAAAGGAGGGAAAATTAGAAATGTCATCTGCACAGAATCACTCTGATAAGAAAAAAAAAAAAAAAGAGACCTATATACAAAATATAAAAGCCCATCTAACATACAATTATAAGAAGGAAGGCAGAACATGGCTATATCTAACTAGGGAAAAGTTAATCCTGCGAGTACTATGTGCCCGATACAAGCCATACTTCAGAGGAAAAAAACATTATTTATTTCATATTAGATTTATATGCTGAATACTGAAAGAATTCTGGGAATCCAAAAAAGATAAAGATATTTAAAAGGTCTTCTTCAGGACAATAATTGCATTTAAAGAAATATTAATGAAGCAGAAGCAATCCTTCTAGCCTCTTGTAAATAAGTTTGCATTATTTTAAGTGAACTAAAAACAATCTGTTTAGTAAGATGGGAGCTTATTATCTTAGCACACATCTAAATGGGATTTTGGAGGAAGAATTTTTAAATAATGAGAAAATAATTCAGCAATGTAATAGAAAATTATGCTAATTAAAATCTTATCAGGAGAGCAGTATTTTAAAATGCTATTTATCTACATGTCTAATACCATTTGAAATCTTATTAAGACAGACTTGTGCTACCCAAGACATGGATGCACGTAAGAAACTGGTTCAGACGATGTAGAAGTGAGTACAAGAAAAACCACAATGTGCAACAGACGACTGACTCAGAAAGCCCAGCAGAGTTAAGAGTGTAAAGCTGCTGAGCGGCCGGACGGGAGTGTATTCGGTGAGCAATGTGAAAGTGGGCACAGACTGACCACGGATAATAAAGTTTTCCTGAGAGCAAGGAGTAAACGCTTACAGAAAAAGTTAAAACAAAAGTTAATCTGGACAGCAGCAACTTAGCAACTGTTCATACAACTCTGCGTTTGGCTGTATTAAAGAAAACGACACTCACTGTACTACATGTAAGACTGGACCTTGTTTTAAGATTCGGAAGGCAAAAGAGTCAAAAGATGATTGAGATTTTGAATCTGCTGTTACCATTAATAGACAGAAAAACCTAGGATAAGCTGTGTCTTACGAGGTGAAAGGAGCATGCCCACTGAGGTGCCGAGGGACCGCCAGACATGTATCAGAAAGTGGAAAGAGGGGCTGTAATTACTAAGGAGGAAACTGAAGAACAAGAAGAGGACAAAGGACAGAATGAAGAACAATGAAACCTAGAGGACAGAGGAGGGAAAAAATGTAAAAGACAGAACAGGAAGAATGCAAACGAGGGGAAAGCCGAAGATAGAGAAATCCAACACGGGGACACTCAGGAAGGTGCTTAAAAATGTTCAATGCTATCAAGAGGCAGAGAAAGAAAAAACTGAGCAAAAGACAGGAGCTGATGACGAGGAGAGAGCACTTAATATTCAGGGAAACTCTGCAAGTGTCAAGGAAGGCAAGGTAGGAACATGAAAGTATAATTTACTTTCAAAGATTTATCAATGAGTGCTGATAAAATTATCTGAAATTTACTGAGCAATTCTGGTGTGCCAGACATGGTACTAGAACTTTCTTACTCAGTTATTGTTCTTTTTCTTTATATCAAACTTATGAGGTGGATACTGTTACTTGAATCATTTTAGAACTAAAGAAGGCAAAACTGAGAAATGAAGACCTATCTCCCAGATCACACAGCTTATACAGAGGAGCCCGTATTGAATAACTCCTGATACCATGCCCCTTAGTTGGAGAATAAGAGGGCCAGAAAGACTTTTTTTTTCCAGTGAAGGAGAGGGAATGAGAAGAGTTTTTTTTTGTTTTTCTGTCTTTTTGAGACAGGGTCTTGCTATGCAGTTCAGGCTGGCCTTGATCGCACTTTGTAGCCCAGGCTGGCCTCAAACTCGCAGCGATCCTCCTGCCTCAGCCTCCCGAGTGCTAGGATTATAGGTGTGCATCACCATGCCCGGCTGAGAAGATTGTTTTTAAGGACAGCCATACTTTGAACACATCTGCTTTTCAAACAAAAAAGGGGCTCCTGCAAAACAAGAATGAAAAACTAAGGAAGCAAGAATAGAGGAAAGAACTGGAGGAGGGGGGGACTGGAAACGAAAAGGGGAGAAGAAGCAGCTCACAAAACACTGGAAATAGCCTTAAATATATACCAGAAACCTCCGGAAAAAGTTACAGAAATGGAACTGAAATATTTACTTGTAACTGAAGGACTAACCACTCAGCTTGTACAAATTTTAAAATGTTTGAAAAGAAAAAAAGAATGAGAATGAGTTTTGGGGCAGGGGTCATGCATATAAATGAGGGTCCCTCTTTGAGGAGAGGGTTTACTGCCCGTATACATCCTAGGATATGAAGAGAATTTGATACCATGGTTGCATTGGATTTTACAGCATGTTACCTCCAAATATAGCATCCTGGCAACTTTCTGTGCGAGAAGTAGCTGTGGAGGACTTCTCTGACCACTGCATCTGACAGTGGATCACAGGGTCCTCATTCTAGGGGGTGCTCAGTTACTCCCCGAGGCCCAGAAGCACCTGAACATGTATCACGTGCTGGGTGACACCCTTTCATCCGCACTTTATTGCCATTAGATGATACCCTCCTTGTCAAATCAAATTTCTCCTCAAATGTCCATTTATCTCATTAGACTTAATATAAAAGTACAGTTTCCCAGGGGTCTTCATGTCACATAAATTTGCTGTGCTTTTCTTAATCTGTCTTTTGTTGTGAGGGTCTTAGTATCATCCTTGAAATGGGTGAGGAAAAGGTACCTTATTACTTTCTCTCCCTTAACAATTGTCTCTTCACAGTAAAGTACTGATAGCTGGGTATGGTGGGACGCTTGTAATCCCAGCACTCTGGAGCTGAGGCAGAACGATCACTATGAGTTTGAGGCCAGCCTGGGCTACCTAGCGAGTTTAAGGTCGTCCTGGAATATACTGCAAGATCCTGTCTCAAAAAAACCAAACCAAAGCAAACCAAACCACACCAAATTGCAGAGTACAACTAATGAAATTCTAATACAAACCATGTTTTCCTGTTATTCAGAACAAGGTTTTCTCATTATTTAAAAAATCCTAAGCTATTAATTCTTACCAATATCCAACTTGTCTAAAAGTAGTAAGTTTTGCTGGGCGTGGTGGTGCATGCCTGTAATCTCAGCACTCGGGAGGCTGAGGCAGGAGGATCGCTGCTACTTTGAGGTCAGCCTGGGCTACAAAGTGAGCTTAAGGCCAGCCTGCATTACATAGCGAGATCCTGTCTCAAAAAGACAAAAACAACAACAACAACAACAAAAAGAACCCAAAATTCCCAATGTAATAAGTTTTAGGTATCATTATTTCCAAAAAATGTTTTCATCTTTCTTTTCTAACCAAATACCATGTCCCCTGCAAACTATGAGCATCCAAGCTGCTCCCTTTGCTATTTCTGTCATTTAGAGAATTAAAAGGAAACATTTATATAGCATCTTGTCTCCATAGTAATATATATGGACTTGCTTTTCAGTCTTACATTTAATGAGAAGAGTTTAAAGCTTCCCCCTTCTTTCTTTCCAAACTGTTCCAGCATGAAATACAAACCTCCCAGAGCTCGCGTTCTGCCAGCTGTGGACTAGCCACAGACAGTCACAGAATGGTCTACATAAATAGTAATCTGGTCGAATAATTAGGCTTCTCACCAACTTCAGACTGAAAATTCGATCTGTACTAAAATACATCTGATTGTAATTTAAGGTACTGAACAGGGTGCCTCTGGAGTATAGCTCTGGCCTCATTCCAACTATGTGTGTGTTGTATGTGTGTCTTACTTTCAAATGCAACACAAGAGTATTGTGATGTACACAGCATAGCTTTGATTTTATGAATAAATAGATAAAGATCATTAGCTTTAAAATAAGAGGTAAATTTACAATTGAAAATAATTCTGTTTTTTAAGTGTTCTCATTTTTTCTTTAAGTAAATATTTAGAATTTAAACAATTGGAGATTTGTGCTCTGTTAGACTGCTAAGACTGTTAAAATCCATGCCAAACATAATTTTTCTTCCCAGATTTATAACCTTTACTAGGTCACATGTTCCAGACTATAGTATCACCTAAAATAAAAACAGTACCATTACAAAAATTTTTTCTTCATGTGTCAGGCTTGCAGTAAAAACAGGCCAACAGTTCATATGTCTGTAGTTTAGAAAAATATTTTATATAATCAATGAAATCTTATGATTTTCTAGTGAACGACTTCAGTCTGCTGAACTGTTAACGGTTAGACTTTGTCCCTAGTCTATGAGCAACTAAAAGCAGATTCTAACCCTGCGATGTTGGATAATAATCAGAACTGAGACTGACATGGGACATTTTTATTCATTATAGCAGTAATAAAGCAGGCAGAAATAGGAGGGAGCGGGGAAGACGAAGGTAGGGCCAAAGACTGTCTTACAAGAGCCAGACTTAGTACTTGGAAGCCTCAACCACTTTAAGGATTTGGTAGAACAATTTAAACACAGGGGAATGTTAGAAACAAAACTGTTCAACGTGCTAAAAGAAAAGGAAAGGAATTGCTTTTTTTCCCCTCCCTATACCAGAGGTTGAACCCAGAACCTTCACATTGAGCTATGTGTCCAGTCCTTTTTGTGTTTTGAGACAGGACCTCCCTAAACTGCTTAGGCTGGGACTGGATTTATGATATCCCAGCCTCAGCCTTCCGGAGAGGTGCATTACTACACCCGGCAAGGAACTGCTCTTTTCGCTCCTGACCAGAGTTTGCCTTAATTGAGGGTGACGACTTGGGGATTTAAAAAAACTGTTGTATTCGTACCTAAGAGAACAAACTTTTCATTATTTACATGAACAATTACTCAAAAAATAAATACGTGTGTGTGTGTGTATGTGCATAAATACACATCTGTATAAATATCAGGAGTTTATAACTCTTAGAAATAAGTCTACATTGATTCAACAGGACGTATAGCTCTGTACAGTAATCCTGGCTACAATTATCAGCGGCGGCTATGCCATG